TCCGGGACACATCTACGTATCATGGCTGCCTCTTGGTGCCGATTAGACCTGGGCAGGGACCGGTCCCAACCGGGCTCGGGTCTGGGCTTGATTGGGACCAATTGCTCATGGGCTTGGGACCGGTCCTAGGCCCATGAGAAATTTCAGGACCCGGACTAGTCCTATGGGCCTGAAAAATTATTTTTACCCCCTCCCCATTTTTTTTGATATATGGGTCAAAAGAAATTATGTAGGGGGGTTTATGTAATTTTTAGGGGCTTGGAAAATTTTTTCCACCCCGAGAGATTAATAAATTTTTAATTAATTTTATAAAATAATAAATAAATTAATGGTTAATTATAATTAATAATAATTTATAAATATGAGGATTTAAATTTAAATTTTAAAGAAATAATTTAATTAATTAATTTTAACATAAATGTAATATTTACACAATCATACATTCACACTTCACAAATAAACAATTAAATAAATTTATTTTTATTAAATTATTCATCATCAACAATATTTACATTGTTCAAATTTGTGTTTCTGAAGAGTTCGAGTAGTTCAGGATTTTCAGGTTGCTGTTGTAGTCTTCTCTCTGCATGAGTCCAATCTCATAAACACGTTATCACTTCAATCATCTCATTGGTTAAAGAGCATCTTCTGTCTTCAACAATTTGGCCACTCGTTGAGAATGCTGACTCGGATGCAATTGTAGAAACTGGCAAATATAAAATGTTACGTGCCATTTTGGCTACAATGGGGAATCGACTTTGATGTTGTTTCCACCATTGAAGCACATCCATCTCATTTTTCTCCTTTTTCGTCATGTAGGACATGTCCATTTGTAGGTGACGATTCAGCTCATTTGGTCCATGTATGTACGCACTGGAGCTGCTACTTTTGCCGCCATGTTCCATATACGTCCACATGCTCGATTCTTGATAGTTGTCTTCATCAGGGTCCTATTAGTTATCTCTGCTGGATGTTCCAGTTCCATTGTACCTGCTCTGATATAAAGAAAAAAGGCTTTCCAATTTTTGCTTAAAGTTAATCAAATAATACGTATAATCATGTCCTAAAACTACGTGTAATTTAAATCTAGGATCTACAACAAGACCTAATCCATATAAGAACGGAATATCTAACTAATATTTCTTGTATTTTGTTTCCGTTTCTGAAACAATTTCCATTAAGACATCATTATATCTATATTTAGCAAAAGTTTTAGAAATTTGAAGTAAAATATCTAACGCTAAATTTGTAGTAGGATAATAAATACCACTTAATGTATTAGTGGATTCATAAAAAATTTTGCAAACCGTCCAATCATCATAGTTGACAACTTCTTGTGGATTCTTCCGGTTGACGAAATTTGTAATTTGTGTTGTGTTTGGCAAAACTTTTTCCAATATCAAGTAGGTGGAGTTCCAACGGATAGGCATGTCTATACATAACTTCAAAGGTCGAACCGATGGATCCTCTTGCTTACAATATTTGACGTATGCCTGCCATCTTTTGTTGCTACCGCCGACGATGAATCTGATAGTCGTGCGCACCCTTTTAATCTTCAAATTTATAGCTTCTAAACCTACTTTAACAATCAAATTGATGATGTGACAAACACATCTTTGGTGAAAAAAATTGTCTTCACCAAGCGGATCCAATCTCTTTTCAAATAAAGAGATAGCTGCGGTGTTAGCAGTTGCATTATCTAGCATTAGTGCTACAACTTTATCAGTTAATTTATATTCTTGCAAAACTTCAAGTATTGTAAAATAAATAGTGTCAGCATTATGTGCAGTATATAATGGTCTAAAGCCTATCAAATTTTGTTGTAAACCTCAATCGTGATCTAAGTAATGTATTGTGACAGTTAAAAAATCTGTTTTTGATCTACAAGCCCATATATCTAAAGTAAGTGCAATAGATATATTTCTAAAATTTTGAAATTCATTTTTAAGTTGAATATTTATTTGGTTATAAAGTTTTAGTATGTCTCTTCTACTTGTACTTCTATTAATAGGGGTATATGCTAGACAAAATGCGGTTTTAATCAAGTGAATAAAAAAAGGATTTTTAGATAAAGAAATGGGAGAGTCCGTAGCAATTATGTGTTTTGCTATTTCCTCTCGTGCTTGGAGTGCATTGTATTTTCATGTTGACAAAGTTGAGGATTGTGGATTAAAATTAAGTTGAGTTTGAATTTGCCTACCTGGTTCGGTTGAAGATGAACCAGATAGCTGCATTATTTGGGGGTGCTTCTTCTCCAAATGACGTCGCATCGTCGAAGTTCCTGTCTCAGCGCCGATAACGGTTCCATAGAAATTACGTACCCCGCACGATTCTTCCCGTTCCCCATTTGCCTTTGCCCGTTTTGATTTGGTGAAGTGTCGCCTTACATTGGACACAACCCTCTTTGACGGTCAGGGGGGTTGGGTCGTGGAGTCGTAACTCGCTTGTGTTTGGCTGCACCCCGTCCCGGCTGAATGTGGTGGTTGTTGTTGAATTACAACTGCTGCTTCTAGAAAGGGTGAAAATGGATTGAACCCTTCCATTTCTTTGGTTGATAGAACGTAGAACTCATTTGGCCCTTCCATTATGAATTTATGATAAAATAATAAATAATTAAAATGAAAAAAAAATTAAATAATAATATAAATAAGAGATGATATTGAAAAATAGAAAAATTGAATAATAGAAAATATAAATAAATTATATGAATAAATTATAAATATAAATATAAATATAAATTGAATTGAAGAAAATATGAATAAGAATTGGATTGGAGTAGAGAGATTTAGAGAATGAGAGGTTGAGACTTGGTGTGAAAAAAATTGGAAGTGTGAGGGATTATTTATAGTGTAGGATTTGGGGGGAAAATGACAAAACCACCCCCAACCCCCCCACCCTATCCCCTCCCCTCCTCCTCCCTCCCTCGCCGCCCCCCCCCCCAAAACAACACATGACTATTGGCAGCCAACGGTCATGTGCTGTTTATTTGGATTTTTATTTTATTTTTTTTAATAAAATATCAATTTAACCCTTAATATTTTAATTAATTACAAAATTATTAGGGGTTTTTGGATATTTTACAAGGACTATTTTAAAATTTTGTAAATAGGTTTGGGACCGGTCCCATGCCCAAGCCTTGGAGGAGGGCCTGATCAAGGGACTGGTCCCTCCTCCCATAGGCTTGGTCCGGTTTGGGACTAGACCCTCATAGTAATAGGCCCTCCTAGGACCAGGACCAGTCCTTTGGGCCGAGTTTTTGGGACCAGTCCCAAATGCCTAGGTCTAGCGCCGATGAACCAGATTGGCCACCTATAGAATTCATACCTGTTAGGGTGGCATTGGTGAAGCACGACTGGTTGATATTCAGCTTAACAACGTTTTGTTGATTCCTCAACTCAACCACGTTTTGTTGCACCACCTGTGCAACCATCGTTCTGATCATCTCCACCAGATGGCCATTTTTGGGGTTTGACGTCCTTGCCCCCTGGTTATTTATGCCGTGCTGAGTTGGCGACATGGGTGGTCGGCGTCTAGCAGAATCCTGTTGTACCTCTTGGTGGATGGTCTCTACATTCTCAAGGTTTTCGATGGTGGTCTTTGATCTAGTGTGCACCATTGTGGGCTTGGATTGGGTAGGTTGTTGCGACTGTTCGTAGGAATTGCTGAGATGTTAGCGGAAGCCCTCATTCTAGTGCCAAAATATTGATACAGAAATTTGCATCAACTAGAGAATTCTGATTGACCTTGGTGGGATCGGAATGGATGTGCTTGTGATTACGGATAATCAACGATTGACAAGTATTGAATGTAATAAAGTAAATGGCAATGAGATTTTTTAAAGTGGTTCGGCGAAGTAAACTGTCAAGCCTATGTCCACTGCTTTTTGTATTTGCTGTAAGAGCTTACAATGAGAATTCTATGAAAATTTTGTAACTGTTTTTCCATCATTTGAGGGGGTTTATGTACAAGGTTTGTACAAAGGAAAGAACGAAAATAAATGGATTACAATTGATCTGAACTGCAATTTTGATATTCTCGCGATTGGGCGTTGTGATTGTATAGAGATTGTTGTTGATCTAGTTATTCCTGTGATATCTGAGATCTGAAGTTATTTGGGAATTAATTGAATGATCATTCAGGTTTTTCGTGACTGACTTGTGTTGGGTCGAGTTATATGTTGACGAGTTTATGTTGGGTTGGACAATCAGTGAAGTCGGACTGATCCTGGGTTGAGCTACATCCTCGCGGTAGCTCAAGCTTGGTGAAAAAATCACACATAACAATAAGTTTTTAGGATTTCTTTATATTTTAATATAAGGTTAAATTTATCATAAACAAAAATATAGACGACTAAAATAAAAATGGACTGAAAATTACTTTCCAGAATAAATCTTGTGCTTTTTAAGTCGATTATTGTAGCGACGGGCTTGTGGTCGCGGCTGAGCACAATTGAATGTTGAAACCTTTAGACGCAAAGGTCTGCTGCTATTAAGCATACCCACAACCGAAGAATGTTGTTTGTCTCCTATTTTAATATTTTTTTTTAATTTATGATAAAAGGAAATCAACTGTTCTTGTTCCAGCTGGATGTTGCAGACACCAGTAGCTTTTATCTAGAGTCAGTGGCCCCACTTAACTAAACACTCATTAACTCCAATTAATTATGATTCCACTTTACTAAGCTCATCCTCTCACCTTACACAGCTGTCACTTAATTATACTTGTTTCAACCACCAAACCTCAGACCATCAATCTTATCTTAATCCTACTTGATTGTTGTTGCATTAAAACCGTGATCCTAAATTACCATACTGCCCTTTAGTTAAATTTTCACTCTACATATCCAAAACTCTTTAATGTGCGAAATTATTTCTTTACCCTCTTTGTATGGTTTCTTATTGGGACCTGAAAGGGGTCCCATCTTTTTGAGGCCCAATGCAATGGGACCAAAAACGGCAGCGCAGGAGACCTTTTACTCTTTACTCTTTAGGCATCTTCCCCCTCCGACTCCATATATAAAAATTCGGTCATTTTCTTCTTCTTTCTTACCGGTGAGAGTAGAGTAAACTCTGTAAAGCAAAAGGTGAATTCTCTATTTTCAGATTTTATTCAGACCAATCTAAAGTACATTTGTCTCTTTTCTTTTTAATGTTTTTGATTTTTTTTTTTTTTTTTAATAAACAAGTCTATATTGTTCAGATCTCTGAGGATTCGTTGTCTCTTTAGGTGTATGTTCTTCAGTTCCTTGGGTGCTTAAGTAATGAATGCTTGTTAAGGTTCCTCAAGTACGTCATTGCCGGTAATGCTTAGATCCAGCTTTACTTTTAGTTATAGATCAACTTCAACTTCACTGTCTCGTTTACTCTCATTTTGTTTTGTTTTTTGGTTCTGTAAGGAACAGTTCTCTATTGTTCTTTGCTTCTTTAGTTGCTTATCTTATTCCTTTTCTTACTTGAGTTTATTGGTGCTGTGAATATGTATTCATGAATTTTCTTTTAAGTGAAACCTTAAGTTTGTGTTGATTTAAAACATACATTTAGGTTGTGTGGCTTTACTTATAATTTACTAGTAATTCATGCAGTCATGTGCTTCGTGTTGAAGTTGTATTGTGCATTAATACAATTAAAATGCTGCAGGTTGGTGTATTTGGATTTATACTGCAACTGTAATGGGAAAGACTCCTGGAAAATGGATTAAGACCTTATTTCGGGGGAAGAAATCCTCCAAATCTGGCTTTAAAGGAAGAGATATTCTGGTAATTAATTTCTATTTCCTTCTTAATATTTATGATTTAAATTTATCAGCTTCTTTCCTTTTCTCTTCTCATATGTCTCCATGTAATGAAATATTGCTTCGAAAAGGGTGGGTAATTGCATGGCTAGAATGTAGTGCTGAAGTAAATTCACATATCCTATTTGGTCTTCAATCATGAAAATCATTACATGATTGAAGATCAAATAGGATAATCAATTAAGAGACTGTTCAAATGCTTAAAAGTGACTTTTGTAGAAAGTGAAGGAGGAATTGTCATTGGCTAGTGGACTATAATGCCATAACTTTTTTTGTAACTGCAATTGAGTATATGCTAGTTCTAATTGGTATCTGAATCTTGTCTTAAGAAATCTGCAAACACAGGAGAGTCATTAATTTCTTCTAAAGTGCCTGTCTCTGATACACTCGTGGCTCCTCCTTTGATCTCGCCACCTACTCTTGAGACTTGTTCTAGAATTGGAGTGGACTCAAAACAGGGTGTAGCTGCAGAATTACCAAATGAAGGGGTTAATGTTTTGTCAGCAAAAGAAGATGGAAGTATTCAAAAAGTTATTGATTTGGGTTCAGAAAAAGACCCTCATAGAATTCGGCATAACCAAGCTGCCACAAAGGCTCAATCTGCATTTAGAGGTTATAGGGTAAGTTCTTCTTGCTCTGTTAAGACCTTGTCTGAGAGTTAAACGTAATGAACTCTGAGCATTCTCATGTTGCGTATTTGCAAACCTAGTTTTCTATTATTTTTCAATTTTTACAAGTTTTGATTTGATCTATTAATTTTATTGAATGATTTTCTCCATCAACAATAATTTTCTTAATGTTCTAGAAATTTCGTAATGAACTCTGACTCTGGTATCAGAATTGTTGATTGGTCATATGTTCAGATTTTACAAATTAAAATTGGACATGTGGTGAAAGCGTTGTAGAAAGAAGGGCTTTAAGTGTGTTTTGGCACAAGTGTGCAAAATTTGCATTTTGTGTGTTTGATTCTAGTACATTCTTTAGATGTAAGTTTGTCTATGGCAATTCAATGAATTAATAATTCAAATGTGATATGAGCTTATCTTGCTCTGAAATTAAGAATTTAATGATCTTCAGTCCTCAACGTGCCTGCTACTTGTATTGAAACATTTTGCTCGCTTCATGAAGACAGAAGACCGAGCTCCTTTCATTGATACACTGTTAGTAGACTTCAAATGTTTTCTTTATGAATTAATGAGTACTATATTAGTTTTGAAATGTTTCTTTGAAAGATCATGTAGGCAATAAGAGACCATGTTAAACAGACTAGGCCGTAGAACTCCTTAATTTATAATACAGGTGAAGGTGCTGCACAGTTAACTGATTGAATGCATAGGAAATTGGAGTTTGGATTTATTTCCTGCTTGAAGGGAAGACATATAGGCTTTACAATGTCACAAGGGTCACACTAATATAAGATGTTTGCTATAGTTTCCTAACTTCACACTATCCTGCAAAGCTAACACGGGCAACAGTTCTTTCAGTTTGAATGAAGTTGAAACACCTTTCAGCTTTATGTTTTCAGTAAGGTATAAATATTCGATTCTTTTTGTAAAGTTTCTGTTGTGCTGATGTTAGCTTAATTTCTTTGAAGGCTCGCCGTGCATTTCGAACCCTCAAGGGCATCATAAGGCTCCAAGCTCTTATTCGCGGTCACTTGGTTAGAAGACAAGCTGTTGCTACATTTCATTGCATCCAGAGCATTGTTAAGTTTCAGGCACTAGCTCGAGGTCAGAAGGTTAGACGCTCTGATATTGGGATTGAAGTACAAAAGATATGCAGCCAGGGAGTAGTTCTGGTAATTTTTTCTGCTTTATTTATATGGTAGTTGTTGAATTTTCCTATCATATCTTTTATCGGAGAAAAATACCTTCAGATTATGTAGCTCCCTTAGTTTTTGTTTCACAGTAAACAAGCATTGAAAAGCCTTTCATCATTGTATAAAAGAATAGATAACATAGGTTTTGATGAATAGGCATGTTGAATTTTCTTTTCAGTATTATGATAATATTTTTGTGTGTTTTAATTTCATCAAACCTTTTCTCCTTTAATTTTACCCCTAATATTTATGTTTCCCATCAGGTTGCTGATTGTTCAAATTCATCTGGAATAAGTACATCTACTCTTGTGAGGAAGCTCTCAAAGAATGCTATTATTCAGGAGGTAAGATCAACTTATATATTTCTGGCATATAGCTCAAAAAATTCTTTTCTTTTAGGTACCACTTCTAAAATGTTTATGGCTTCAGCTTTTCGGAATGAGATAACTCTTGATAGAAGGATTATGCCATATGGGTGGCTGGATGGGATATTTCCTGGTCTTGTACATGCTTCTGTCAATTTTTTTCCCTTCGTTGAGTGCTTTTTATAAGACCAATTGCTATCCTTGGTACTTTTGATGCATTACCATTCGCTTGTCTGACATATCAGCTTTAGGTCAATCAAGTCAAGAATTTTTGTGATGGCTGTATAAGTACCAATCATCTAGGTGCACCATGCTGCATTTGTCATCATGCCAATTAATTAGTACCATGTGGCTGTAAATTACATTATTCTTATGACAAATGTCAGCTTTTGGCTTCATCACCTTCTGCAATGCCTCTACGCGTGACCTACAACCCAGGGGAACCTAACTCGGCCTGGCAGTGGCTTGAGCGCTGGACGAAGGTACTATTTTGGCAACCCCACCAACAATTAAAGAAGAATATCCAATCAAAGTCTCGGACCAAGCGTGGCAGTTCTCAAACTGTAGAAACTGAAAACGGTGTTTTAAAGAGAAATTTCAGAAAATCATCTAGTATGAACACTGAAAATGGCTCAATTCGTTCTACTTCTGAGTTTGAGAAATCCAAACGCAATCCCAGGAAAGTTTCCACGTATCCTGTTGATTCTGTTCTTGAACATCCACAAAATGATTTTCAGAAGGTAAAACGCAATTTAAGAAAAAATTCCAACTCCACAAAAGAAGTGACTGAGCAATTGGAGGTTGATAATGAGAAACCAAAGCATGGTCTAAAAAAATCATCAAATTCTGCTGTCCCTGATGTTCCAGTTCAGGGGACCAATGATTCTATTGAGAAGATGAAGGATGTGTCCTTGTCAGTGTCTAGACATTCTGATGTTGATACAAATTTGAAATTGCCAGAAGATGATGGTTCAGTCGATGAGTTACTTGACCATCCAGCAGCTGACTTTAAATCTACAGAGAGCAATAGTAAAGTTGAAAATATTCAAGAGACAAATGTGGAGCTCAACTCTAAGGATCATCATATTAGCAATGAGAACCCAAAAAACAGCCAGAGAAGAGCCTCTTTACCCGCAAAAATTGATCATCAAGAAAATGTGTTACATTGTACACCAAAAGTGCCTAGCTATATGGCACCAACTGAATGTAGCCCAAAAGGGCCTAGCTCTATGGCACCAACTGAATGTAGCCCAAAAGTGCCTAGCTATATGGCACCAACTGAATCTGCCAAGGCTAAGCTTAGAGGACAAAGCTCCCCCAGGTTTTTCCAAGATTCAGTTGAGAAGAATGGTATAACCAGGCGGCATTCTCTGCCATCTTCCAATGGCAAGCCAAGTTCATTTTCTCCAAGAGTAACAAGACTTGTTCAAGCAGCTGGCAAAGGGGTAGTCAGACCGGACCGATCCCTTACATCTTCCCGAGATGGTGGTGGTAAGAACATTTGATCCCATTCTAGTATGCCCTGTCTTTTGTAAGTTCGTTATGTGTGACGACATAAATTCTAGTTCATGGATTTGTACAGATACATAGACACATAGATACACATATTTACCTATTGGTGGGTTCTTTTGGAATTTGGATATTAAGGATGATTTAAGCATAGGTTATGCATGGGAATTTTATTTTGTATTAGGGCCTATTTGAATCCTTCACTCTAGACAGTTGTTATGTTTTGCTGTAGCCTACCTGTCCACTGAAGTTCTGCTTAATATAGATGAACAACTCTGTTGTCTATGATTACTGATAAATTGACATCTTCACTTATATTTATTGAAAAGGATCATAAGTCCTTGGTAACCATATATTGTAAACTATTTTTTTTTTTGTTGGGTGGGTTATTATATACAGAGGTGGCTATTAATAAATACTTTGAGTTCTTATTTGACTTGAAAAAGATTTTGAATGGCTAATTCTCTTTCTAATTGATTGTTGTGGGCATTCCGATTTCAGATAAGGTGATCCAAGCAGAGTGGAGGAGGTGATTTTGCAGTATCCCATGAAAAGTCAATCAAAGAGGTGAAAGAAAATTGTTGAGTAGGATTCATTTGCATCAAAGAGTTGTAGAACAATGAAATGGATGTCAGGTACTAAATAGTGTGTGGTTTGTGCCAAGCGTGTTAATTAATTTTCTCACTTGTTGGGTTGTAGGTGGGTAAATATTTAAAGGTCCCAAGGCATGGGTTGGTTATTTTCATGTTTTTTGTGATGTACAATTAATTTTACTGTATTTTTAACTCTAGATATTAAAGTGTGAGAAACTTCTATTCAAACTTCAACCTTTCGAAGGTGTAGTTGAAAAATCTGATATTATATATCAGAGGAAATATCTTGCGTTACCATATTTACCCACTCTGATGGTCTTGTTGATTTACCCGAGCAATCTTAATTCTTAAAACATAATTATCGGACATGACCCATTAATGAAGATGCCATGATTTCTTAAGATTGCCTGTATTGATACTATCAGTCCCAACTTCTGTATTTGGCAACTTCTCTTATTGCGACTGTGAAAACACATTATTGCCTTGAAAAAAACGAAGAGTTCTATTTCTTATTAGGGTCAGCTATGATGCACTTTTATTGACAGTGTTCTATCTCTTTGCTGAGGTCCTAATTCACCAAATGCAAAAAGCATGGAGTGAAGTTCCGGGAGTCCAGTCAGGGTGGAACTTTGCCAGGCTCTTTGTGTAACCGTTTCCTAGATAAATGCACCCATAGCCTGCTGATGCACCCCCATATATTGTGGTTTTTTTATCATAAGACCAGATAATTTTGCCTGTGTTGGCGTCCATTGTGTATAAAGGACCATTAGGAGATACAGAGCCAGCAAAGAGGAGATTGTTTACTGGTGTGACAGGCGCTTGTGCAGTCATTGCTGGGATTTGCCGTCTACCAAACAATTTCCCCGGTACTTGCATCCAGAGCCACCCATGCTCCAGCCGTTGTTCTTTGTGTAGAAGGTGCAAGAGGGAAACTCACTCGGTCACTGTTGGCAATGTTTGTATACACTCTTTTACCATCAGTGGCTGCACCCCAGAGTCCTCCCTCCTTCCCACCTGGTCCAGCCAACTGCAATCCAAGAAATAAGACATTAATTTTCCTTGGGTTAAAATTAAGAGTAAATAAGAGTTGCAGGCTTACCTTGAACCACACTGTGTCACCATTGTCACGGTCTAAGGCCCATACAAACCCACTCTTTTGTACAGCCACTGCAACGTCGCGTATTGTCTTGTTTACATATATGCTAAGTAGCGTAGGAGCCTCTCCAAAGTCAGCATCAATGCTTGGCCCTGGAGGACAGTCGGGGTTATTAGGAACTAAACATGCGAAATAGAATACATCATAACCACCCAGTTGCCTTGCCCAGGCAATCCTTCCAGAATCAATATCCAATGCAAGTATTGAATTGAAGTTGATATCAGGTCCAGTGCACTGATCCGGTTTAGTTGGTGGTGTTGTTTGATTGTTTTGCAACTCTTGGCATCGTAGCACATCAGGAGGAGCTATGTAGAGGTTCCCAGTTCCTATATAAAAACGTCGTCTTTTTACATCAATGGCAGGACTACTTCCCCATATAGCGGCTCCTGAGTAACCACCCAGTTTGCCTCCATTATCAGGAAGCATATAGGTTCTCCATATGACTCTACCAGTTCGAACATCTAGCTTTGCAAAGCTGCCCCGGAAACTACAACACTGTTCAGCTGGTAATGCCTCTTCTAATGACGATACTCCAACGTAGAAGCCCTTATTAATTGAAACAAGAAGTTCTTTAAAGAAAATTTAACAAATGGTCTATATCCTGAATTAATTTCACCGCAAGGAAAACACTTATTTTCGTCGTAATAGGAACATCTCCCATCGGACAACCTATAATACGACATCCGGAACTACGTTAGACCGGAATCGTAGAACGTGGGTCAGAAAACTTCTATTGCGACGACGGCTGCAAAGCAGAAGGGCTATTTCAATGCCACCTGCGTCGCAATAGATTGCTAACACCCTATTCTGACGCCGGTGATCACTATCGTATCTTGAGGATTTAAAACTTTTCATTTCACCCCCTGTACATTACGCAACCTTCATTCACCCCCTGAATGAACAAAATTTACTCATGGATTTGAAAAGCCAAAATTAAAGATTAGCTGGGTTCACTTACCCTAGACAGTGATTTGAGCTCGAGGACGTGAGTCTAGCTGAGTAGACCACAGAAGTCTCCCATTTGATCTAGTAACAGCGATTACAACTGCAGGGCCATATATTCCAACAATCAGTAAGCCACCGGCTATGGCTGGAGTTGTTCTTGATACAGTAACGTTAACGATGATCCCAGTACCATTTAATCCTGTTAACTCACCAAGGTTCTTCTTCCATATAAGAGCACCACTGAAGGCATTCACTGCATATAAATTTCCATTCCATGATGGAAAGTAGACCACTCCGTGACTCCTTCTGCTATTGCTGGAGTTGCTGTTATGTCTTTACCAGCATAGAATTTCCATCTAAGCCGTAACTTCTTCACAGTTGATGGATCGATTAGCACCTCTTCACTAGCATACCTCCTGTTATTTAAGTCTCCTCCATGATTTAGCCACTAAAAAAGAAAAAACAAACAAACCATAAAATACGTAAAATGAATATAGAGACTTTGCTCCCTAGCTTCAAATTTAATTATTCCTAAACTTAAAAACATTGAGCAGCTGAAATTAAACAAAGTATCGGCACTTGCATGAACTGCTTGTGTGTAATGCATAGCTTCAAATAAGCACATGGACATGAGAACAATGGTGATGATCCCATGAGACTTATGGGATTTGTTATTATAGGCCATGATGAGTAAAGTAATATCTAAGGGAGGAATAAAAAGCAGTATGAAACTGGCTATTTATAAGAATCTAGAGTTCAACTAGAAAGAATTTGTGTAATTAGTTCTAGTTTCAATTTTCTGTTACTACAAAAATAGAATGTGACGTTCCAAAATCAACTTTATCATCATATTCCATCACTAGTATTAAAAATGACAAGAGTTTGAGATCTAGCTAACGGTGAGGGATGCCGCTAACGACTATACGCATAATGTGACGTCGGGAAATCTCATTTTGATATCTTTAATCCTTGGACAATAATATATATTGAACCGCATAGATGATAAACCCTGATTCAAAAATTTATTCCTAAAATAAATTATTAAATATTTTTTTTGCCATAGTAGTTTTAAAAAGTAACTCTTTCATCCCTGGCCTCATCCAGGCGTGGGAGGTCAGATCTATCAGAAAATGATGACTGATGGAGATGCAAAAGAGAAAGGAGGAGGAGGAGAAAGAAAAGAAAAAAAAAGGAGATGGAGAAAAGTAAAAGAAAGCAGTGTTTTGAAACCCAGACTGGAACCACCGGTCTGACCGTCGATCGGCCCCTTTTCCAGTCTCGGTATATCCTAAACTCGGTTATAATAGTTAGATTAGATTGACCCGCGGTTGGACCGGTTGAACAGTGTCGAATCGCCGGTTCAACCGTCGAGTTAGGGAACTACATTCACTGCTAGTGCCGCCACTGACCATTTCAGCTGGTTTTCTATTGTTTTTTTTTTCACCAAAATCACTAGAAAACATCACCCTGACACCGTTTCTAGCCATTCCCAACCTTGATTCACTAATTTTGGTTGGATTTTGCACATTCTCGTCTCCTTCACAACTCGTGCGACTATAGTTCCAGGCCCGATCCGGCCTGATTTCGTCACCGTTCGATCTCCTTGACACCACCATTAATTAGCTTCACCTTCACCTCCACGACAATCCCTACCATTTTCAATTCCAATGCACTTGTCATTCATCGCTCGCCGTCCACCTCTTGTTCGTGCGACCAACTGTCTTCCTCCCTAATTCCGGTAGCTTCTGACGCCAACCATCCCAATTGACACCACCATAAGCATCACTTTCATGTCTAGATCAAAACCCCCATCATCCCGAACTTTGATTGGCAATTGATAGCCTAGATCACAAGGGTGTGTTTGTTGAATTTTAAACTTGAAGGGACTGATGTGTTATTTCTCAAGGGTGTGTTTGTTGGATTTCAAACTTGTTAGATATGATGACATCACCGGTTCAACCCGCTGATCGAACAAGTTGAATTGCCTGACCCGAGAATAGGCCTGTTGGCCGGGTCAGTCCCTGGGTCAGGTTTCAAAACACTGAAAGAAAGAAAAGGCAAAGTGAAAAAAAAAAACCATTAGGTTTATTATTAAAATTTCACAAAAGGTTAAAAACACCCTTATTAGCTTTAGGAAAAAAAAAAATTCACTAAATGTGGGCAAGGATCCTATTTCACATAACTTTGGGTGGCTTTGTAGAATCGCTATAGCTATGGAAGTTTTCTAAAAATACCCCTATTTTTATTATTATGTTATACTTAATTTGTAGAGGCAAATTATTGTCTTAAATATTTTTCATTATGTATAAAAAATCCTAAGGAAATTTGAATGACATTAATCATTTTTTCATAATTTTCTAAATTCCCTTCTAGGAAAACAAGTTCTTTACCAATGTAATATATTAAAATCATTATTAGTTTTATTAATTATACCATTAAATCATTATGCGTCACAGTCAAATAAAACAAAAAGATTAAACATTTTTTGCAAATAAGGTTTCATTATCTTTCATTACACCAATCAAAATCCAATGATATAAATTTTATACTTTAATACAACAGATTCTTTTAAATTTTAGTTTTTGAAAGATTAAAAATAAAGATAAGCATTCTAATTATTATTTCAAACATATTCAAAGTGCTACTATTTTTCAATAAGTTTCTTTTTTTTCTTCCTGTCTATTGTTTATTTTAAATTGATAGCATTATTATTATTTTTTCTTTGTTTTTATTAATTGATTACATATTTGTTTTTAGTTGATATTTTATCCCAAGAATTTATAATTGAACTTATGAATCTGTATTTAAAAAGCTTAAGAAAAATAGAAGTTTATGCAGATTTAGTTAAACTTTAGAAAAGAGTTTCATCAAATTTATCAGAAAAATAGTTACCTCGGAAGTATGATAAAATAATAAAAAATCCCCAATGATTTCAGAAATAACAAAAGTGCTCTTGTCGATAAGTTTTAGGTGTTAAAACGGGATAATATCATAGATGACCCTTAAGGTTTCCAAATTTATCATTTAGATAACAACTTTTGCATTTTTTATCATAGATTTTAATCAAAACTTGAAATTGTATCATGGATACCCCCTTTGCTCTAACTTCATTATGTTTACCGATTGTTGTAGATGACCAAAAAGGTAACTTTGTTCTTATAAGGAACTGTTAGGGTAAAATAGTAACTTTGGTCTATAAAAAAGTGTTTTACCAGCCTAACGGCAACATGACGGGGTTAGCAAAGAGAGATATTTGTGGTAAAATTTATAAACTTTGAAGGTTCATTTGATATGCAAAGGAGTATTTATGATACACTTTCAAATTTTGAGGGTAGTTTATGATAAAAAGTGCGAAAGTTATCATCAGAATGAAAAACTTAAAAACTTTAAGGGTAGTTTATGATAATGTCTTGTGTTAAAATAAAAGATATTAGGGTAATTTGGTAGCATTTACTAACTTGGAACATGTAAATTTTAATGGTTCACTAATGATTCTTTAACAATAAGGGATTTTTTGTTATTTCATAAACACCAGGGGGTTTTTGTTATTGTTTAATATCTCAGGGGATCTATATCTTTTAACTAAAAGAAAAAAAGAAAAAAGAAAAAAAGAATATACACTTAAATAGATTATAAAGAAAATGGCAATCTTATTTTGTATTGTGGAAAGAATACCTTGAACCGAGGATAACTCCCTAGCAATAGACAAACGTACAAGAGACCGAATAAAAAGTAGTGTGAACAGAGAATTGATCAACCAGATCATCAAAAGATTGATATGTTTCTTGGTTTCAGTGTTCTTTGTCGGAGAAGTAGCTATGATTGAATCTAGGGTTTGTTAGAAATTGAAGTTTATCATGGAGTGTTGGAGTAAAGTAACTGAATTTCAGCTCATTATCGGGTAAAAGCTGCCGGGTAGTTGAAATTGGTCAAAGCTCTTTTAGGAAGGCCCTCGTACTATGATGTCATGGGAAACAATTTTCTGATCGATTACTCAGCTCATGCCTTCTGGATGGTAGAAGGTAATACTTTAAAAATTGGAAGACTAAATTCAAAATTCGTTTGAAATCTATTATAACTGAGATTATAAATATTGAAAATCTATTATAACTAGATTACAAATGTTAATTTCAGTTTAAATAAGGTAAGTTACAATGCTACAAGGGCTAATCAATACTCTTCATGGTCATTTAAGAACAAACAGAAATAATATAAATTCTCCCTTTAATTACTTAAGCCGTTCACCGATCTTTACTAGTCCCAGTAAAACATGGCAAGAATAAAAGTTAAAAGAGCTTAAACTAAATATACAAATTAATGTATACAAACTGACATAACTCCTATTCACCCATAGTAATTCAATATTCATTCATTTATTTTGTAAAACATTAATTTGCATGCAGAATTGTACGTACACATAGTATTATTCTAAAGTGAATTATATGATTAAGATTATCTTTACATTGCTTTGTATAATTATAATTTGTTGATGCGTGATTTTGACACCAACCAAACGCACGTATAAAATGCTAAACGGGCCCAGAAGACACATGTGAATGTGAGAATGAGAATAAATGCAGTGTAGAACAATGTTTAAAGTGGTTCAGATGCTAAGGAAGCAAATCCTACGTCCACTGATTTTGTATTAATGATAGTGATCAGGTCGAGTTCAGCGGACTGACTTACAAATGATTATATAAGAGAGAGAATGCTATTTTTTTCTTTAGAGAGGGTAGCTAATCCCTTAAATGAGAGAAGAGCTCTCAATTTATAGTGGGATGGATTAAGGTTATGATTACTAAATCTGTGAGTTGGTGAGATTATCCGTACAAATCTTTCTTTATGTCCCATTGCCCATCTTCTAGAGTGATTTACGTGATTTGGTGCAGGGATTGAACATGTGGGATTGCTATCGCTCCTGGCTGGTCTAACGCGCACCCACTGTCCTGACACGAGCATGCCGCCCCTGTCACTGTATGACATGGCTGCCTCTGACTGGCTGCGGGCCTACCTAAGCTCTGATTTTTTATGCTGATTGAGTCTTGCGTAAGCCCTATATTTTCAGGCATAACAGAAGTCCCCTAGTTTTTAAGGTGCGAGGATCGGACCTTGGAAACTATAATTCATGCCGTGACAAGATGCCCTTGAGGAAACTCTGGTGATCCCGACTTGTATGAGAAGAGGTCATGACTTCATTTTCGTGCGCGCGATCTGATACAGTCTTTGCTTAAGGGTGAACGACATGATCTCAGACCATATCAGTGCTTTCGATTTTGATTTTCTGAAGTTCACGACCTGATTACACTTGGAATTCTCTGGACAAGGGATTGGGTTGTTTCGAAGCCAAATACTCATTGAGTCATGTCGTTTAGCGACCAGAGGGGTAGAACCGAGGAGTCACGTTGCTTTGTGTCTGGCCAGACAAAGAGTGTTCTACGTAACGATCTCTTCAGATGTTACCTGGCGCATTTTCGTAAGGGATATATTTAATGAAGCGCCTTTTGCTCTGACAAACGTGTCCTGTACATAATTAATGCCACTTATGAGCATTAAATGCGTGATATGCTGAAACGATATACTCTTATCAGAGCATTAAATGCAGATTGGGGCGCATTTAATGCGGCAGGAGAATCGTGCCGTTGCTTGGGGTTTTTCAACGACGATTGGGTTTTCTTGGAGCGTAACGGTCACCCCTCCCCGTGGGTCTGTGACACATGGTTGCGATCAACGGTGAGATACATTTTACCGCCCAAACGTTGTTTGATTTCAGGAAAACCAAACGCCAGTTCTTTTGTTATAAAATCTAGGTTCATTTCAGGCAATGTCACCACACATCTTTCCAGAGAGAGCAAGAGACTTTTGTAAACTAGGATTCTTTGCCTTCCAAACCAGTGCATGCCTGACATTCGAAGCAGAAGGAACCATCTTCATATTCCGAGAGGCAATAATCGTTCTATTTTTGTTTCTTAGTCCCAGTAGTTGATAAATGATTGGTTTTTCGGTAGTTGATCGGAGACGAAATGTTTTTGCTGGGTTCGAGCCGTGAATGGTGGCTTGAATCGTTCTGTTAGGGTTTTTTCTGGGATTTATGAGGGGAAGTGTTTGCTTTCCTCCATGTCACCGTACGAAATGGTGTACGAGAGCTAAAAAGATTCCTTGCTTGTCACTTTTGCAGACTGCAGTAGGATAGACCCCTCAACGACCAGATCCGAGGAAGGGACTAGTTCGTCTACGCAAGATATTCCCGCGAGTCCCACTCAAGAGATCTACTCGGTACTTACTAAGGACGAGCTCGATAGGGTGATAGACCAATACGGCATCCGTGTGGATGTTTTCCGCGATAGGACGCGCACAGCTCGGCATCCACCAAGTGGGTTGGTCGCGATCTCTGAGGAAATCTTCAAGGGTGGGGGGCTGATACTGGGGGTTTCGATGAATCGAATAGGAATGCTTTCCGGTGCATCAGAGTCCAATGACGAGGCTATCCTTGCCAAGGCATCTACCACAGAGTTGCTATCTTTGGGAATCTACGTGATCGTGAAGTGCTTGAATGGCTCGAGCGCGGCCTTAGCTTTCTTCAGATAATTGATCATATTTTCTTCCTTGGCTTGGTACTCTCCCAAAATCTGGTTAACGACTAGCATGGAATCGCTGTGGATACTGATCGCGACTGCACCCATTTCCTTGGCCAACCGTAGTCCAGCGAGTAGAGCTTCATACTCTGCCTCATTATTGGTTGCCTTAAAATCGAATCGGAGAATGCCGTGAATGCGAGCCATTTCGGGACTCAAAAGGAGAAGACCTACCCCGGCCCTCTTTCTGTTAGATGATCCATCGACGTAGAGGCCCCAGGTCGACAGATTCTGGGCAGTTTCCTGAATGACTTTGCTGGGCCGTTGCTCTGACTCATTCGTCAGATGATATGAGAATTCTGATATGAAGTCGGAAACAGCCTGCCCTTTGATACTTGATTTTGGTCTATATTTCAGATCGAACCGACTTAATTCCATGGCCCATTTAAGCAATTTACCCGCCGTCTCTGATTTCTAGAGGACCTGCCTGAGTGGGGAGTTAGTCATTACATGGATCGTATGGGCGTGGAAGTAAGGTGGTAACTTTCTGGAAGCGATCAGCAAGGCATAAGTTAATCGTTTCATTTCTGGATACCGCATCTCGGCATCTAACAGATGCTTGCTCGTGTAATACACGGGCCATTGGACCCTATCCTCTTCCCGAATTAAGGCTGCACTGACCGCGAATTGGGAGACGGACAGATACAGGAGGAGGATCTCTTGCTCTCCTCGATATGAAGCGACTTAACGCCGCTATTCGCCCATTAAGGCTCATGACCTGCTTTTTGTTGGTCGGGCTTTTCATGTCGAGGAGAGCTTGGATTTTCTCGGGGTTGATCTCTATTCCCCGTTGGTTAACCATGTATCCTAGGAATTTTCCTAAAGATACTCCGAACGAGCACTTGAGGGGGTTTAGCTTCATTCTATACTGCTGGAGGATGTTGAACATCTCAGCGACATGGGATTTGATCAGCATGTCATCTATGTAGACCTCCATTGATTTTTTGATCTGTTCGGAGAACATTTGGTTAACCAACTGTTGGTAAGTTGCGCCAGCGTTCTTGAGGCCGAAGGGCATAACCCTGTAGCAGTACAGCCCCCGATTTGTAACAAAGGATGTATGCTCTTCGTTCGATGTGTACATCAGAAT